GTGTGTGCGTGCGAGTTTGTGTCTGTGTGCGTGCGTGTGTGTGCGTATGTGTGCGCGTGTGTGTGTGAGTGGGGTGAGCCGTCGTGTAGCGGTCAGCGCACTGCGCTACAAACCCGGCGATCCGAGTTCGATTCCCGCTCACGGCCAACACCGGTGACGATGATCAGAACCGGTCCTGCGCCTCCCCTAGGTCGACTCAGCCTAAAATGAGTATATTGTGCGGTGTGTAAACATCGCTACTAGGGAGACAAAGGCGGCCGGGCGTGGTGCTGGTCACCCACCCCCTCGTGTGCCGTGCTGTCCTTCGTAGGTGCTCGCTAACAGCACTTGCCCCAACAGTCTGTTGAGGCTATACGGGGGATCTTTGTGTGTGTGAGTGGGGAGCGGTGGTGTAGCGGTCAGCGCACTGCGGTTTGAACCCGGCGCATCGAGATCCATTCCCGCTCACGGGCCAACACCGGTGGCGATTATCTAAACCGGTTCTGGGCCTCCCCTAGGTCGACGCAGCCTCAAATAAGTACCTGGTGCGATTTGTAAACATCGTCACTAGGGAGACAAAGGCGGCCGGGCGTGGTGCTGGTCACCCACCCCCTCGTGTGCCGTGCCGGTCTTCATAGCTGCCCGCTAACAGCACTTGCCCCAGCAGTCTGTTAAGGCTTCACGGGGGGGGGGGGACCTTTGTCTTTGTGTGTGCGCGTGCGTGTGTGCGTGCGCGCGTGCGTGCGCGCGTGCCCCCGCGTGCGTGTGTGTGCGTGCGCGTGTGCGTGCAATTGTGTGCGCGCGAGACGGGGTGGGGGGGGGGAGTGTGTGCGTGCGCTTGCATGCGCACACACGCACAGGCGAGACACCAATGGGTCGCTGAAAGGAGCAGAAACACCCCCACCACCCACCCACCTCCTCCAACCCACCCCATGAAATAAAGACAAGAAAACATGCACCCAGGCGCTAACGACATGTGTATGGGTTCTATATGATGCCGCATACTGTGCCATTGGCGAGACCTTAATTTATGAATCCCGGCAATTCAGGCATAACCTCGCGCCGGTCCAAGTGCCCCTTTCTGGCATTTGTGACGGCAGGCCCCTCGCGCTCTGCTCACAGAATGAAAGGGGCGGGGTGAAAGGGAAAAAATTAGGAATATAACAATTTACAACATAAACAAAAGGAATGGCGTTGTTATATATTGCGTTTTTAAGCAACGGAGCGATACGTGACTTTTACATCTCCCGAGTATTTTTTGACCGTGGGTCTTTTGAAGATATAAAAAAAAATCTCAAACAGGTGGCCTTTGCCGTTCGACGCCTTTCTCAAAGAAAATTTGAGGTTTTATTTGGGTCCTTTGTGTTCGCCCGTTGTTTGGGTGGGCGGATGGAGCGCCGCTCTGGACCACAATGTGTTATGTCCGTGCGTGTGGAGGTGTACACCTCGCGCTCCGCTTTATCCACCGGCAGATGTCGACCAAGCCCACGCCGATGCATTCTTCGGTTATCATATTTTTGAGATAACACACTGCTTTGGGTATTTGAACAACCTTTTGAGTTGTTTTTTTGCATGTGAATGGAAACTGCAGCACAAGGAGAAAAGCCATAGCGTTTGAGAGGATAACACGAAGCAACTCTGCATAGGTAGGGCAGCCTACTTTCTGTACTCTCTCACCTTATAACCGTTTGTGGTTTCCACTTGAACTTGTTTTGGCTCCATCTATGTGTGGTCCACCAACCCCAGCATCCAAAGCACAGCATCGCAGGCATTCAGTCCCACACCTTGCCAAATGCTTGTACATATTGCAGTGCAATAGGAATATAATCGTCTTCCATTTTCTGTCCTCTGCTGGATGAAATCCTCCCCGTGCTGTCACTGTCCTTTAACGGCCCGCTTCTACTTCGCAAGCATCCGGCACACGGAGTGCGTAAAGACTACAACCTCTATTCGAACGGATGCGTTGCATTTTGGATTTTTTTTCTTTAATCGTCAAGTTGGTTCTTTCGGTAAAGTCACGTAGATGAAAATAATAATAATAAAATGAAAATAACTAACTAAATTTAGTGAAATGAAAATAACTAACTAAATTTAGTTAGTTATTTTCATTTTTCGATTTAAAGCTTTCGTGACTGCAGGGATTCATCTTCTTGGTTCTTTCGGTAAAGTCACGTAGAAGGGAAGTAATAAAATAATAAAAATAAAACATAAAATAATTCTCACGACGTTTCGGCCACAACGCAAGCAGCCGTCCTCAGGTGGAGAACAGGTCTGTCAAGTAGACAGAGTCTGAATGGCACGCTCCAGGCTTGGAGCGACTATTTATGCTGGGATGGAGGGGCGAAGAGCGTCTTGACAAAATAATTTGCATATCAAGAGGAATTTAGCATATTTATGGGAAATGCAGATATGCGATTAGCACTACTTGCATTTCCCATAAATATGCTAAATTCCTCTTGATAACCAAAGAGAATGGATCCTTGCAGTCACGAAAACTTCAAATCTAGAATTACTCGTCGCGTTGTGATCGCATCTCACGACACCGTACAAATGGAACTGCTTTCTGCGTTGAATTTGTTCGCCCGCACCTCCGATTAGCAAGATTGGCTCTGTACGGCGCGAAAGAAGTTCAACATACACACATTGCCCCAACGGTTTGTTAACGGCTCTATTGGGGGGATAATTGTCTTTGTTGTAAGTCACTCCGCCATCCATGCATGTCGCCACCAGAACCAAGTGGTATCAGGGCTGTATTGTAATTGCTGGAGCGGTCTCATAGCCAACATTGGTTTGCTCCTGGCGATGCTTACCGCACCAGTTACTCATTTGTGTTTGAGTCGACCTAGGGGAGGCCCAGGACCGGTTCAGATAATCGTTACCAATGTTGGCCGTGAGCTAACCGCTCCAGCCGCGCTCCCAACGTGCGCGTGTGTGTGCGTACGCGTGCGTGGGGAGCGGTAGTGTATGAATGTACGTGTAGCGGTTAGCGCGCTGCGTACATGCATACAAACAGGGGGGGGGGGGGGGCGTGCCCATGTCAAGATCTTTTTTAAAACAAGAGCAGGGAATCAAGCATAGACCACAGATGAGGGAATTGGATGCCACTTTAACGGAGGTGACGCAATGGTTAACACCCTGGATCGGTGTTCTTCAGTGCAAGGCCCGTGGGCCACTGGCGGCCCCTAGTGGCCTTTAGTGCGGCCCCAGACACAATGCACAGATAGTGAAAATACCCCCCCCTCCCCCCCATTATCGTGCTGTCAAACCCAATGCTTACAAATGTGTGGTGGCCCTCACACTGACGATGTCTTGTTGGCGAAGAAAAGAGCACAGTCTCTAGAGCCTTTGGATAATTCGAAAAAACGTACCATGTTGGGTTGCGAGGAATGGAGTTTGGGACAACCCTGCATTATGTGTAATGATAAACTACTGAAACTCTATGCCAGTATAACAAAGTGAAAAAAAAAACATATGAATAATAAAGTGGTCCATAACAGCGATTTTTTTTGGGTTAGATTGCATAAATATAAATGTGTAATTAAACCCGCCACCACCCTACCTACACAGCCAATTCGTAAGGTTTGCCACGTAAACAAAACATGTCAACTAATTACAAGTTTAGCATACACCAGTGTGTTGGAGAGTAAACCCACAACATTTACAATTTCTAGTGCGACATTTCTCGCCGGCGGTTACAACCAGCCTCATCAGGCGACAGCCAGAATTGTGGTCCGGGGCCAGAATTTGCGAACCGTTGCTTGTCAGGTGTGTCCAGCGAGAGCTGAATTTTAGGGGGAGAATTGATTACGTCACTCTGTGTGTGAATCTACGTCGTTGTGTGCACCTGCTGTGGGGACTTTGCAAATCGTGTAGTGGATCGATTTGCCTCTGCCCAACCACAGCCAGGGAACCGCATCACATCCCTGCTACGTGGACGTGTCACTGGGGATGCGTGCGAGGTGCCTTATTGTTGCGTTTGGCCGGGAGCGCTGTCATATGGACTCTGTTGGTAATGACAGCGGTCGTTCTCAGAGAGCGGTCCCGGGTACCACCACCCAGGGGTCCGCGACAGCTCCCCCAGGTGGTGCGTGGTGGACGTTATTTCATATTTTACTTATCATATTGAAAAATAATAATTGTAAAAAATGTGAATTTCGGTCCACTACCCTGATTAAAATACCCTAACCCTAGGATCTAAATGCCACCACTTAACAAAAATAATTGAAGCTGCATACATTTTTTTTTTATGTTTCGGTAATATTAAATAATTTTTGTATTGCTGGTATTTAGAGAGAGAATCGAAGGCGTTCCGTCACCAGGGATGTGGGGGGCTGGGTGGTCCGCGGAAATGTTTGATTTAATAAACTTGACCCCCACCCCCGTCGTTTCAGCTGCCACGCCGGGAGATAGAGTTGAAGCGGAGGCCTCTGCATCGCAAGTCCAGTGGCACCACCTTGGCAGTGGCCACCCCTTGATCGATATAATCAGTCTTGGAATTTGATTGGAATATCAGAATCAGAATATTTGTTTATACTGGAGGAATCCAATGAGCTATACAGCTCTTTTTGTCACAGATGTCCAGGAGAATATAATAATAAAATTGGAATGTAATTGGGGGAGAGAAAAAACTAGGATTATGTATGTATGTTGAACTTCTTTTCGCACCGTACGTAGGCAACCGCACTCATCGGAGGTGATTAAGTTAATGGGCACCAAATGCAACCATTTTCCATCACGAAGCGACGCCGAAACGCGAAACTTTGCGAGCGTGGCCTGCGACCGACGGCGTAACCTTGGACTCAGAAGCTGGGGCACCGCTGAGCTGTCAGGAAAAGAAAACAACCGATTCATGACCCCTCTATTTATTGAAAGAATAACTCTTCCAAACCCCCAACACCCCCATCGCCTTCCCCTGAACCCTCTCCACCCCCCTCCCCTCGCCACCACTCCCTCGCGGCTCGCTCACTCCTTGTTTTGTTTTTTCATTTTTCCCCCCTCCCCCCACCCCCCCGCAACTCAAGGAGTCACATCTGGGCTCGGAGGCGAGAAGTTTGGCCATCAATCATCCTGTCCCCGGACGCGTATCAGAGAGCCTCCCTCTCTCTCTCTCGCTCTCTCTATGAGCACCCAGGAGGTGATGGTGGCTGCCCTGAGGGCATGTCTGCAGGAGTTGGGGGCATTGCGAGACGGAGATGCCACTGCCCCCGCGGGGGCAGCGCTACCTCACGGTGAGACACGTGCAAAAGCGCCTTTGAAATGCGCAGCGGCCCTTCCCGATCGCTTTGATTCGTCGCCGCGACTTTCATCATTTTTGTTGTTGTTGTTAGATCGCAGCGCGTAAATTATCCATTGGGATCTACGGATGAAATCCCCCTTACGTATGTAAATTGTTATTATTATCATCGCAGAGAATATAAGTAACTCGGTAAATACGCAGATGTGACGCCTCCCTCATATTTTCACTCTGCGTATAATTTTTTTTTACACATCCCATTGGAGAGTGAATATTTCCAGCAGCGTTGGATGAAGTCGAGTAAACCCAGCGCCGCCTTTGACATTCAGTGTCTCAACCAGCAGAGTCGGGCTCGCGAAAACCAATGCTGGTGAACCAATAGATGAATGTGTTCCTTCGTTAGTGTTGTCTGCCGTTTGGATGGTTGGTGATCAGGAAGCTTTTATTTGCCTCTCCCCCTGGGATATCGCTGTAATTTTCCGAAGCACCTGCTGTCCAGTCCATTCTTTGGTATTCGCTAAGCGAGAGAGAGAGATACATCCTTTATTTAAAACCGGGTGAGAGCCCACAGAGACACAGATGTCTCTGTTTCCCAAGGAGCACATGGGTGAAGGATAATTACAGCACACAGCTGAAAACAAAGTGGAATGAAATTCAAAACAAATGCGAAATAATAAAACACAAATTAATGTCCGGTAAATAACAGATGTTTAAAGGACAGCTTTAGAATGTGGACAGATCGTATGCAATGAAGGAAAATGGTCACAACAACAAAAAGAGGCAATTAATTTTTAAATCAAGGCGATGTGAAAGGCAATTTGTGGTAGATACGGTTTTAATTTAAACACGGAATCAATTTGAGATTTGGTTGCACTTTAAAGTGATGTTTGCCTTCAAAACGGGGAAAACAAGGAGCGCCCTGATAGACAATTTACGTGCGTGTGAACGGACGCGGCCACGGCCGACCGAATAGTGCGAGCGTGTCAAGGCGTCTTCTCTGTCAAAGCCCTCCGAGAGCGAGAGCGACCCCTGAACGATTGGTTCCAATTCCACATTCCTATGGCAGGGGCCAGTCTTACAAAACGGAAAGCCCGCTGGTGACTTCCCACAAATAAAAAAAGTGGCAGGCGTTTTGTTGACCCCCGCAGAAATGATGGACCGAGTTGAAAGCACCCCCGATCAAAATCTGAACTCGTAACCCTTTTCAGTACGAGTCGCGCGTCGCGTGAGTTCTTCACCATCTGGATGGGAATGAATAAATGATGAACCTCGCTTCGGAGGAGTGGGCGCTGCGGCAGCAGGCTCGGCTTGCAGTCAGAAAAGGTGCTGAGTTCAAATCCCAATCGAGAGGTAAACCAATCACGCGATCTCTCCCGTGTTTTAGAAAAATGAGTGCATTTCACTTTGTTGGATGTTAATAGTGGTTCTGTAGGTGACATGCCCCCGCACCCCCACCCCTCCCCCTTGCCACGGAATGTGGAATTTCCACCAGTGGCCTAGGACGGCCACGGTAGATGATCAACGCCCAATAATCAATTAAAACTAGGAGACGAATTGGTGTCTGGGTCAATTAACCCCCACGACCCGCACGGCGTGTGGAGGCCCTCATCCCGAATCATTAGAATCACACGTGACAAAGCGTCGTGCATGTGTGTACCGCTGCCCATCGACGTGATAGCACAATTATGTAAACGACTGTTGCGCAGTCTCTGGCGTATTTGATCACCTTTGTTCAATCAATTATCTTGATCCGGAACATCGGCGCGTGGCTGCGTACGTCCGAGGACAGCGCACGTTGAACGTCGGTACAGCACGCATCCGCGCACGTGTGCGCGCGTACGTACGTACGTACACACGCGCGGGCACGTGGCCGCGCGCGCGCGCGAGCTCACCGGAGGAAATTGTGACATGTCAGCAGAATGCGCTGGAAGGGATTTTGCCCGGTGATGAATGGGCGCCTGCTGTGTAGGGCTTGATTAAGCAAGATTGCCGGTAATGATAGCCCGGCCGTGGCGCGCGTACGCCAGTGCATGCACTCGGAGCGGTGTTGATGCGATCTTCTATAAACAGCGCGGACAGGAAGGGCAACAACCGACGGAAATGCCTCGGACCGTCCAACCGTGCGGCTCCCGCGTGTTTACAGTTGCTGTGCGCGTATGTGTGCACGCGCGCGTATGTGTGAGAGACACACGCGTGTCAATCAGATGACCCATAACACCCGGGCCGGTTCCCGTGACCTTTTTCCTGCCCGTGTCGAGCTCCTCCACACTTCACGCGGCCTCCAAGTGCACCTAGGCTGGCACAGGCGCTGTTGTGACGTCAACGCCACTTTCTTTTTTTCTTGAACACGGTTGCTGAGCACAGGTACAAAGGCCTGACTTGTCAGGTGGCTAGCAACAATCAGCAACACAAGTGGCCACCAAAAAAACTTGCCGGCGAACAACGGTTATTGTTTCTATTTGTGTGTGTTTGAACGCCGGTGTGTATCTGCATTTGTGTATGTGTGTATTTGTTCGTGAAAGATCTCGATACTGTCTCATTGGTGAGCTCCTCTGGCAGGCGAGGCTCTGTTGGCTGTGTCATGTAGCCCGCATGCCCAGCCATCACATGTCCAATGATCTTCTGTTTGGCCGGATAGAGAGGGCTAAATGGGCATGGCACCTGCTAGAGAGACTGATCTAGTACAGGTTGACGTGGAGCTGAGTGGACTTGCCAACGACTGGTACCAGCAATATCAAGATCGACCTCTGTGGAGGAGGCTCGTGAAGGACGCTACTGGGCAGTTGGAAGCATTTGCCCTCCATCAACAACGGAGGGCAGAGGAGCGAAGCTTACAACAACGAGCGGAGTGCCAGGCGGTTAAAACAAAGCAAGTTGGCACAGTAAGGAGTACAGGTGGTGCATCTGCTGGTCATTTCCGTCAGACAACCCATGGCACCTGGGTCTGTTCCGTGACCTGCCAGCGAGCGTTCGACACTTCACGTGGCCTTAAAGTGTACATAGCCTGGCACAAGTGCCGTGGTGATGTTACCGCCACTTAGTGGCGAACGGCAGTTGTTGTGTTACTGTGTATGTGAGGAGTGATGGCACAATGGTCAACACACTGCACTATACACACAGTTAACATTAGTGGCAAATGACATGTGAACAAGTCTTGCGCATCTAATAGGTTCTTGCGAACAAGCACTTGCCCCAATAGTCTAACCGTATTATCTGTGTCTTTCGTGTGCCTACGCATATGTGTGTGGGCAACGGCGCAGTGGTTAGCGCACCGCACGACGATTCAGTCGATCCGAAGTTCCAATTCCCGGGTTATAATTCACAGCACTTCTTGCCCCTTTGCTGTCTCCGCCTGGTCTGCGCCTCCCGGAGGTTGACTCGGCCTAAAGTGAATACCTGGCGCAGCGTTGTGATCAAAACCATTGGCCGGGCGTGGCGCTGACCAAACCGGCACGGGTTGGTGAAGTTGGGGGAGAGGGAGGGAGGGGGAGTTCAGAACAACAAATGGATTTTGCCGCACTGATAATCACCTGGCCACGACGCCTACCCACACACGCACACACACGACGCCTACCCACACACAAACCTGTCTTCTGTGTGCGGTGGCGGTCGCCCATCCCAAGCACGATCCATTTGCTCGGATCATAAGTGTGCCGGTCATATCAGGATTCGAATTTTATCGTCCATCCGTTTCGCCGAGATGACGGTACCAATTGTCGACGCAGCTAAAGGTGACGTGAAAAACGTGGGATGACCGTTTCCCACGCAATAATATGTGGACCCGTATAGTAAAACCACCGTTGTCTGTGTATGTATGTTGAACTTCTTTCGCACCGTACGTAGCCAACGGTGCTAATTGGAGGTGTGGGGTGGAGGATAACAAACTCACTCCTTCAGCAGAGGAGCATGAGCAAAACGCCACGATCTCTCTCCTGTAGCCCTCTCCTGACGAGCAGATCTTAACATTGGCATTCACCTCCTGAACATAATGCCATACGCAAGCATATATCCAAAGAGTGCTCGTATCAGATGTGTACTTGTAACAGATGTGTATCTGTATCAGGGGTGTACTTGTATAATAAGTTAAGTGTTTCTAGCTGACGTGTCCTTATAACCGAAGTGTGTTTATATCAGAAGTATAAATGAGTGTCCGCGTATATATGTGTATACGTATTTGAGTATATGGGGGGCATTCATGTCGTAAGTATGTGCAAGTATCTACGAGTGCATGTACAATTATAAATTTACGTGTATGTGTGTCCGTGTGTATGTATGTTTGATGGGAGTGGACGTGTGGTGGTTATTGCACTGCGCTACGAACCCGGCGTCCAGAGTTCGATTCCCGCTCACGGCCAACACCGCTGACAATTATCTGAACCGGTCCTGGGCCTCCCCTTGGTTGACTCAGCCTCAAATGAGTATCTGGTGCGATGTGTGTAAACATCGCCACGTGGGAGACAAAAGCGGCCGGGCGTGCTGCTGGCCACCCACCACCCCCTCGTTCGCGTGCCTTGCCAGCCGTCGTATGTGCAACTCGCTAACAGCACCCGTCCCAACAGTCTATGCGGGGGAATCTTCATCTGTGTGTCTGTGTGTGTGTGTCTGTGTGTTTGTCTGTCTGTGTGTGTCTGTGTGTGTCTGTGTGTGCGTCTGTGTGTGTCTGTGTGTGTCTGTGTGTGTCTGTGTGTCTGTGTGTGTCTGCGTGTGTGTGCGTGTGTCTCTGTGTGTCCGTGTGTGTCTGCGTGTGTGTGTGTCTGTGTGTGTCTGTGTGTGTATCTGTGTGTGCCTGTGTCTGCGTGTGTGTGGGGCGGGGGGGACGTAGGCAGCGACGAGCCCTTGTCCGAGGAGCTGGTGGCCCTGCTGCAAGACGCTCGGGACATGAAGTGGCCCTTCGTGCCTGAGCGCTGGCAGTACGTGAACCCGGCTCGGCACGAGGACACGCGAGACCTCAAGGACATCCTGGCCGGGCAGCTGCCGCAACTGCTGGTGAGTCCACTACTCAGGTCTACGTCGCAGTCCTGCCTGCGCGCCATTGCATTGCTTCGATGCGGTAAATGTCGGGATGGCAGGGTAACGAGATGGAAGAGGAGGCCAAGGTACCCTGGAGAGGTGCCTCTCTAGAGCCCCCTCTGGTGGAGGCCCCTTTCTGCCAGCAGTGGCGTGAGCAAGCAATTGCAGTGCTGCCCCTTTAACTCCTCACATTGTGTTACCGCTGTCCCCTGAGCGGGGAGACGCGTTGACGTTGACCGGGGGCGCCACGGTGGTGAGATGTTAACTACCTCGCCTGGTGTACAGCAGGTCGTGGGTTCGATCCCAACCCTGACGCCTGCTGCTGTATATTTGGAGTGTGCGTGTTCTCCCCGTGGTCGTGTGGATTTGTCTCCGGGTCCTCCGGTTTTTCCCTCCACAATTTATAAACATGCATTTAGAGTATTTGGCTGCTATAAATTTCCACGTGATAAGCCACTTCATTGAGCTATGATATGTGTGGCCAGGTCGCTGTTGAAAAATAACTTTATAGCTCAGTGCACCTTATTTGGTAAAATAAAATGTATTGTTTCGTTTATAGTAGAGTTTAACTACCGTGGCCGGTTTGAATCGTTGGCTTGGGCACCTCTCTGGAGTTTGCAAATGCGCTTCTGCGGCCGTCTGGAACGCTCTTCCTTTCAATATTAGGAAGCCACTGGAGCAATGCACGTTTAAATGATCTCGATTGAAAACTCGTTTCTTTATAGCGTGCTTTTTGTATTTATTTTGTCGTCCTTCCCGCCGCTCCTCCGATTAGCACGGGTGGCTACGTACGGTGCGAAAGAAGTTCAACATACATACACACGTGTTCCTTGCCCCTGTTCTGCGTGAGTTCCAACCGAGTGCTCCGCTTTCCTCCCACACGCATAATAAACACTTATCACTAATCGGCTGAGAAACATCTTCATATATAGAGAACTGCAGAGAAGCTGTTGCCACCGGCTCACCGCCTGGCAACCTTCCAGTTTGTCGGTGGGATCCTCCCCGGCGATTGAGAGATGCCTTCTGCGCGAAGGACGTAAAGTAAAATTAATCGTTTGATTTTTTTTCAGATTAAGATATCCGGTTTTTCTCCCATGGCTAAAACACACACACACACACACGATGCCTTTGATGTTGACCGAACATCCCAATGTAGCAGGGCCCTCCTACAAGAGACTCTTGGCAGCCCGCGTGTGGCTTTGCCGGGTGAATATGTCATCAGAAGGATTCGTCATTGTAATCAAAACCGCGGGCTCCCACGCAGCACGTCCCCACGGTTGCACCTTTCCTATTACCGTCGTCATCAACAGGGGAGACACCCACCCACCACGAGCCGGCCCACGTAGAGTGCCGCAGACAATCGTGGTGTCCACACATCGCCGCGTGTGTGCGGATGTACGCGTATGCGCGCGTGTGTGCGTGTGTGTGGCAGCGGTTAGCGCGTCTCGCTACGAACCCGGAGATCGGAGTTCCATTCCAATGCCACGGCCAACACCCAGTGATGAATATCTGAACCGGTCCTGGGCCTCCTCTAGGTCGACTCAGCCTCCAATGAGTACCTGGTGCGATGTCTAAACATCACCACTGGGGAGACAAAGGCGGTCGGGTGTGGTTCTGGCCACTCCACCCCTTGTGTGCCGTGCCGTCCTTTATAGGTCCTCGCGGACTGCACTTGCCCCAACAGTCTGTTAAGGCTACACGGGGGATCTTTGTCTTTGTGCGCTTTCATAATTTTGGCACAGTAGCGTGCACAGCTGGTGCATTTGCCAGTCATCTCAGTCAGTCGACCCCATGGCACCTGGGTCTGACCCGTGACCTCCTGCTGCCAGCGGAGAGATTCTTGGACACTTCGCATGGCCTCAAAGTGCACCTTGCCTGGCACGGGCGCCGTGGTGACCTCACCGCCACTTAGTGGCGAGTGGCGGCTGTCGTCGTCGTCGCTGCTGTGTTCTTAATTGACGAAGGCAGTGAATGGGAAGCGCCTTTCTGCAGAACCACGCCGAGTTTATTTTCCTGTCTCTCGTTTCCTCCGACCGTTCCATCCCCTCCCCCCCCTCCTCCCTGCATTATAAATGTCTTCCCCACTCGCGTATTAATTCTACCTGTGCCCCACGCACCCTCATTAAAGCGTCCCAGGTGCGCCGCTCTTTAAGAGAATAAAAACACCCAGAGAGGCGCACACGGGGGGGATAAGAGTGGGCAGAGCCCAACTTAACAAGCGACGCAATTAAGGCGTGGGACGCAACGATTTGCCACACACACACACACAGGTTACCCCACGCGCACTCACGCAAGGTGTGCAAGATTGCCGCTTGTCGGAGTGAAAAGGTTTTATTCCCGCCCTCCTCCTCCCCACCACCCACCCACCTTTCGTAATTACAACGCCTGCAAGGACGATGGGCGTTGCTGATGGTGGTGGTGGGCCCCCCCCCCCACCTCAGCCTCGGCCCACACGGGAGAGAGACGAGAGGGCGGCTCACTGCTTCTTATGCTTCATCATTGTTGTTCTTGTTCCGCCCGTCGGGGGGGGGGCTTTCGGCCCCCGCGTTTGGCTCGGGTGTCGTGGAGTTTTTTTTTAACCACAGACGCTCGTTGGAGTCTGCGCCTCTCGGGAGAGAGCGCGCACGGCGGTGGGGTGGAGGAGGGAGGAGGAGGAGGATGATGGGAGAGGAAATGATGATAGTGATTATGGGGGAGGTCAGCTTGGAAATTAGCACAGGGCGGCCGTGCTGGTTTTAGCCCCGGACGATTTTTCTCGATGCGCTGCTTCGAATTCTCTATGTGGGGTGGGAGGGGGGGGGCCTTGATGTGGCTGAGTGAGTTGTTAGCATGTCTAGGGCACGCTGAGGATCCAATATACGGCTCAGTTTAGCAGTTTGGGACCTTTCCTTTCAGCACGTCAATTGAACCCTAAGAATCTTAAGCATGCCCTTAGTTTTGCGGTTGGAACCATATTATTATTATCAATTTGACGATTCGTTAATTAATATAATTTCTAATGCTCGCGATGTTTGAATTCTATCATGCGTGTAAAATGTATATATATTTATAGATTATGAGTTGTTCATAGAACACTGCAAACCAGCATTTCTATTTTTTTAGTCAGAGAGATGTGCCCTGTCATAGTAATGTGGAATTGTCACCGCTGGCTGAGGGGCTACAAATTGATATGGCCGCCGCCCCAAAGTCATTTGAGCAGAGGGATGCTTTTACTCTTGGTTTTATTAAATCTCCAGTCAGTTGAGTCAAATTGTCAGGTTAAGTCGGTATGTCTCTACGAAAGTTAACACAGTATTGAGTAAAAGTTAATTTTGATCAGTGCAATACATCACTGTGAAAGTTATTAAAAGTTACACTTCTGAAAAAAAAGTATCAACGTTCAAAGCGTACCCCTGCTCACGCTGAGTTTAAGGCAGTTCCTGAGCCGGTGATGGAAATTCCACATTCCTCTGGCAGTGTACATTTGCTACTCTTATGTGCACCTTTCACTTACCTCGAAGTGGTACCTATTTGATTAATTTACGAACCTCCCCCACCCCCTCACCGTTCTCCATAGAGGTGTTGGGCTTAAGTCGACCTGCAAACCGGAATTTAAACTCACAAACCTCCCAATTGTGAGTCAAGCGCCCTAACACAAAGCCGGCCGGGCTGTATAAAGGATATGAGTGGCTTACTGCCTCATTCACATGATGGCTCAGTAGTCAGGGCACTGAGCTGGCACGGCTAATGTCCTCTATTGAAATCTGCGTTTCAGCCACCTGTGATTCAACCAGGTTCTCGAGTGTTGAGGATTTCAGGCTGGTCACCAATGACTGCGTACACACACACACAAACCACATTTGAATTCTTACTCTGGCTAAATAGCACCGATGAAAATTATTTTTTTATTGGTTTGCTTCCCGTGCAATCGGAATGCAGGAAAGTACACCTCCCCCCCTCCTCCTCCACCAACCCCGTAGTTTGTGGATACAAAAATAAGTTAAGTGAAAAAGATGACAGTTAGTTCTATGAAATCTGCTTCTACGGGGCATCCTCTAACGCGCGGTGGTTCACACAGTTGAGATTTCCGAACGGAAGCTTCATCTCGGGGCGCGATGCCGACAGCACGTCCGCGAACACGAGCAGCAGTCGACACGTGGTGGGCACGGTCGTCATCAAATTTTGAGAAAAGCAAACGGAAGGAGGAAACAGCACGAGGCCAGACTCGAATAAAACTTAAAAAAAATCCGCAGCAACAACTTCTTCTCCTGCTCCTCATCATCCTCCTCTACGACGAGAAGAGACGATGAAGATGAATAAGTCGAAGTTGTTGACGAGACCTGCGTCTGGGCAACTGCGAGCTCTGGATTCGCCCATCCGTGCCGCTGCGTACGAAACGCGATGTAATTGCAGATGGAGATGCAGATTGCGCTGTCATGCGCGGGAGAGTGGCGGCGCACCGGGCGCTGAACAGGCGCACTCTTGTGCGCGCGCGTGAGTCGGGGGTCTTAAACGCGCTCGCTCGAGGGGGTACCTTTAAGGTCGTTAGATCAGTGGGATTATATAAAAAGGGTGACGGCAGAGGGCAGGGGAGGTGGGGGCAAGGTTGGTCAGAGCACACCTGTTGCATACATACGCGCGCGCGTGTGTCTGCGCGTGTGTGAGAGTGTCTGTGTGTATATACGTGTGTCTGTGTGTGTGTGAAAGTGTGTGTGTATGTGTGTCTGTGTGTGTGCGGGGAGCGGTGGCATAGCGGTTAGCGCTGCGCTACGAACCCGGCGACCCGAGTTCCATTCCCCGCTCACGGCCAACACCGGTGACGATTATCTGAACCGATCCTGGGCCTCCCCTAGGTAGACTCAGACTCAAATGAGTACGTGGTGCGTTGTGTGAACAACATCAGCACTGGGGAGACAAAGGCGGCCGGGCGTAGTGCTGCCCACCCACTTCCTCGCGTGCAGTGCCGGCCTTCATCAGTGCTCGCTAACAGCACTTGC